CATCAAACAGTCGAGAGGGAAACTAGATGGAAACAGTCTAGATTCAAATTTTTATTTATTTAATTGTTTGTGAATTTTGAAAAGTTCGATAAAAATTCACTCTATAACTGGATGGAAACACGATTATTGAAATAGATGTTTTTTGTTTGTTTTAAATCAAGAGTTTTATTTTGTATTTAAACATATCCAAAGTATAGTAACCTGGTCTTCTTACACAAAAGAGCAAAAACTAACACAGATGTTTAAAGTGAAGATGTGTCCAAAGGATTATATACTAACCAAACTGCTGGATAGCTCTGTCTGCACTCCATGGAAGCTCTAGAGTCATGTGAACTCTTCTCCGCTGATTCCGCACTCGCCGATCGGCCTGCAGGGATATTCCTGAGCTGGCAGCTTCTGAGATGATTGCTATGTTCTGGAAATATACACACACACACACACACACATTTACACACACACACACAAACAAAAAAGGGAAATACACAGTTGTAATTTTCTAAAATTTCACTGATTACAAGTTAAAAGGGGCATGGACATTTCTCTTTTTTGTATCAAAAAAATATCGAACCGTGACACTAAAGTATTGAACCGAACCGTGAATTTTCTGTATTGTTTTTATATATATATATATATACACATACATACAGTATATATATTTATTATCGCACCATCTGCTTCCTGCATGTCTGTCGGACCGGAGCGGAGGTAGTGTAAACTGGACTTGAAACGGTGAAGCTGCGACCAGCGCAGCGGAGCGGAGATGGAACGCAAGTAATATAAATCTGGGTTAGACTTGTAGCATCTTCCTGCATATAAATAATCATTTCTGATTAGATTTCACTTGTTCCTATGACAACGGCTCAGGAAGGAAGAAAAACCTCCACTTTGACTTCAGACTATTTTCTAAAGACTTTTGCATGGAACTTCCTTTGTGGATCAAATTATCATCTCTTACACAAACCCCCACCAGACGTCCTGACGCCTTACTCTTAATAGATAAGAACTGCCACATTCCTGTTCTGAACCCCACAAGTTCTGTTGCTTCCATCCCCCATAAGCACAGGACTGTCTGTTGGTTCCTCTTCAAAGGGATCATAAATGCCTTTAACCAGACTCTTCAGTGACTGAGAACAAATTTTGTTGTTTTATTCAGTTTGTCTATGTCGATGTGAGTCTGTCCCTATTAAATAAACAAAAATAAAAATAAATGACCTACATTCTTCATTAAATGTGAATAAAAGGAGAAAAGATAAAGGAATCTGTGTATCTAATGTTTTCTGTCTTATTGCAAAGAATGTCATCTAATCCATTTTTCTTACAGAAAAGAACTAAAAAGACCATAAAGGATCTACTCAGTTTTGCTTAGTTAACTATTCAATAGCTGTGTGTATTGTGATGTTAACTGTTTTGATGAAATGTTTTCCTGAATAAGTGTGTGTTTTATTCCATGATTTAATCCTTAGAAACTTTAGGACTTGAATCTTTAATAATTAAGTGTGACACTCTTATTTTACTGAGGCAAGCAGATGTCTCTCCCTTTAGTTTTCCCTCCAAAACAGATTTGATTTGTTGAAAAACTTTTCCTGTATAAGGTGTAACATTTTTATTGGCCAACTAAAACCTTGACTCCGCCCATAACAGAGGTTTTAAAAAGCTTAGCGCACTCCCAATCTCTTAGAAGAAGTAGCAGAAGAAGACCGACAGAGAAAGTTTTTCAACATCAGAAGCCAGAAACAGCTTTCCAGAAGCTCAGCAGAGGCCCTTCCTGCCAGCCCCTCCCCATGGGCTGGGCAGGATGGTGGTCCTCCTGCATCTCCCGCTGGGTTGAACGAACAGCCAACGTTTAATATCGACTCAACATCTGAGTTTGATTTTATACAAGTTAAATAAGCTAATTGTAATTCATGCGTCGTTTTAGTTCGTTTTCTCTACAAAGATGAAATCAAATTAATAAGTCTTGCAGCCGCCTGGAGGACCGGACCACGAGTCTCCAGGGAGTGACCCCCTTCTCTGACCATGGGCCCAGACGAGTTTTACAGGCAGACCACTGACATCCAGCTTGCATGTAGAGCCTACCTGGGAGACGACCCCCAGAGATGACCTTCAATCACTGACTTCCCTCCTGGTACCCACACAGTGGAGTAAAAGGGTAAAAGTGAACATTTGTCCTGGTGACACACAGGTGCTCAGACTAATTTGATTCTTATCTTTGTATGAGATTTGGTAAACTAAACGATTTTTCTCCCTAATTTAACTAGGACCCCTTTTGTTAAATCCTCCGCTAAAAGTAAAACTCACCTCACCCCAAACCTCAAACTCACCTCTCAGGGTTTATTTTATTTGTTTGTTTGTTTGTTTATTCACTTGTGATTGCAAACTCTGTCAGTTTTTACCTGGTTCAACATATCATCACTCATTCCTGACCATAGTTGTAAATACATTTAATCTGTAAATAAATGGCTCGTGGAGAACCTGCCAACATAAACTAATGTCACTTTTGTGTGTTGATCAAGTATTATTGGTTCTGATAAGACAAGAACTCATCAAATCATTTTGGGTACATTTATTGTGAGACTGGTTACAATAAAGTTACAGGTTTTCGTCTCTTTCCTGGGTTAATCCTTGACCAAATTAAGAACGTGGTGCCTCGAGGTAAGATAATTTGCGTATTTAAATAATACACAAATTATCCATTTTAGAATATACCCAAAACCCCTACAGACTGCTAGAGGACAAACTGAGCACATTTCCTCATTATCTTTAGTCTCTCTCCTCTACGTTTGTTACAATTACTTCTATCAATAACGTGTTTTCTTTGTCTCTCTTCCAGAGGAAAATACACCTGGACCAGACCTGTGTCTCTCTGTGTCTCTTTCCTGTCCTCCAAGCAGCCGGTGGAGGCAGATGGTCTCCTGTCCTGAGCCTGGTTCTGCTGGAGGTTTCTTCCTGATTAGCAGGGAGTTTTTCCTCTCCACCGTTTGCTCAGGATGGGACACTGTGATGAAGCAAAGATTCGGCGCAGTCTGCTGGCTTCTTTGCATTTATTATTTTGTGTGTGTGTGTGTGTGTGCGGTGCCCTGAGACAACAGTTGTTGTGACTTGGTGCTATTTAAATCAAGTGAATTGAATTGAACAGCTGAGACAGCTGGACAGGATCAAACCGGTGACTTATCAGTTCCAGGACGACTCCCCAACCACTCTGTAACACGTCTGTACCAAAATTCATGATTCCCGGTCCAAGTATGGCTTGGGGCAAATTTGTTAATGATTGTACAGGGTGCTGTGAAGTAATTATGCCACGCCCCCTGGAAATTGGATTGAATTATTATAGTATTGTGGCCTTGGATTGACCATAGCAAATTGTGTGTGGCTTGGCTGAAATATGTGAAACTTAGAGCAAAACGTATGTCAACAGCTAATAATTCCACACATCAACAACTGGCCTGCATTCCTGTTGGAGTCTTTCTGTGTGGAAGTTACAGCTTTCTGAAACTGTACAGGACGGATGGAGACCATTTTAAAGTCCCCCGCCTCGGTGAGGGGGAACAAAAACTCATTTTTAAGTAGTGTTACATGCAACAGTATCAGTCTGAACAGCCGTCTAGCATTAATACATCATTTTTACAGTGATAATGTCCTTACCATACCACTATTTTTAAAGCAACTAAAATCATCAAAGCCAAGGAAAGTGCTGTACAATAAAACATGCAGAGGACTGAATAAAATACATAAATCAACAGAAAAAAAATTAAGCAACTAAACCAATAAAAACACAATAAGGTTGACATATCGCACTAGGTACAAAGGTCAGGGAATAAAAGTGCAAATTTAAGAGACTTAAAAACAGCAAGAGGGGGAGCTTGCCTAATGTGCAAAGGAAAATCATTCCACAGACCTGCAATTAGGGCTGTAAGCAAATATCAATACACGATATATATTGATATTTCATTTCCTGATACTGTATCGATATTCTAAAGCCCTGTATCGATTTTTAATTAAGGTTTAAAATGTCAACTTTCCTGCCAGCCGTTCATTTTTATGTTGTAGTTCAGCCTCTGACTGCTAGTTGGCAGCAGTGAGCCAGACATTAGCCTCCTCTACGTCTTGAGAGCCAGAGAGTCAGGGTAGCATTAGCATTGTGAGTAAACATTAGCTTCATGCTCAGATAGCTGAATGTGAGAGGAAAAGATCAACACCCTCTGCCTTCTGCTGAGGTAAGGTTACAAACAGTTACTGATTAGTCAGAGTGTCTGGATTTTAAGACAAATTGAATTGTCTCGTCCAGGACGCTCTTTTTTCCAACTGTAGTCAGCCGTCACGTTACAGAAGGCAGGCAGGCATACGTCTAGCATCTTGAGCTAATAGGGGGTGTTGTGTGAAAATCAGTTCCCCTGTGAAAATCTGTTCCCCCGTGTCTGGAGGGCACACTGCAGCCAGAGAGGCGGATTCAACCATTTTCACAGCACTTCTGATTAATTTCTCGTTAAAAAGGACTCACATAATCTTGTCACGGTAACTTTCAGTTTTATCATCGCACCTTTGATTAATTTTGTCCACCTAAAGACTAGGTCTCTGTCCAATCAGAGCAGGTATTGTGTAGTTGGTGCTTTTAATCAGTTTTCAGTTCATTTAATTCAATCCAAGTCTATGAAACAGTCACACAATGTCACCACAATCACTCTGTCCCTCTAAAATCATTCAGAAAATCAAATCGTATCATTCGCTGAATACTGAGATATATATCGCATCGTGAGCAGAATATCGAATATCATATCGTATCATGAGATTAGTGTATCGCTACAGCCCTACCTGCAATAGAGATCAAATCTGAGCTTGCATCACTTTACCTTTTCTCCATCCATGAACCTCTGCTTTTCTGTAAGATTAAGGATTTCCACTGGAACGTCCAGCTCAGAGCGAGTTTCATACGTGATGCTGCCGTCATCATTACTGACCACACGACCTTTACGACCAGTCATCTGAAACAACAATTAGGATTTATAAATATAGTACCAATTACCAAGTCAGCTTTTCAATGAAAACGACAGAGTGCAAAGACCTTATAATTCATTACCTCAGCCACATTTTCTGGACCTCCCAGCTCATCTATTAACTCATCGAGCGTGTTGGGAGGCAGATCTTCAGACAATTCTTCCAGTTGTTCCAGGAGATCTTTCTTCATCTTTTGGGCAAGTTCCACCGAGTCTTGACTTGTCAGAAAGCTATCCTGAGTCTCTGTCCTGACTTGTCATCACAAATCATATCACAGATTAACCCTTAAAAGAGATAACTCTGGATTATAACTTTGCCTTTACATGAAGCTGAAAGCTTACCAGGGGCAGGAGTGCTGGTGGTAACTGAGGCAGTAAAACCAGGCCTGGTTGAGCCCAGTCCAGAGGCTAACAATGCACACTGAATGGAATCTGGATCAATACTTTTCCTTTTCTTCTTTTTCTTTTTCTCTTTCTTTTTCTTTGGTTCCTTTCTGATGAGCCATGGATCTAAAAAAAGGAGGGTAAAGGTTTGTTTGCTGTGTGCACTGAATTGGAGGTTTTATTTTCACATTTTTAACCCTTTTCAAAAGCTCACCGTCTTCTGCATCGTCATCAGATTCGTCTCTGAACGGGTTGAAATCGTCGTCTTCATCTGCTGAGCTGACAGATTTGAAGCTGTCGTCACCTGATTCTTTGTCAGAGTCCTCGGACTCACTTTCCTCTGAACTTGTCCCTGAAAGACCACCATGTTTGCGTGGCCTTTTTTTCTGTTGCTTTTGTCCCTCTGAGCCTGGTGAGAGCACAAACATGGCAGACATGTTATAGAACATAGTTTCATTTTAAGTTCACTTTGGTTTTATCTGTTTTTATGTGCATTACCCTTTCTTTTCTTCCCTTTCTGTTCAGGCTCTGTGGCAGTGTCCCTTAGGATGGGTGTCTTTTTTGCAGAGAGGTCAATACCCAGTAAACTGTAAAGTTTCTGTCTGTCTGGTGCAGGAAAGTGCTTCTCAATCAGAGACTGCAGCACACCTCTAGAATAAAGACATGTAGTTGCAGTGATACATTTACAGTAGGTTCACATTTTATGAGAAAATGTTTTCACTTATTCTTACTTTGCAGTTGATACAAAATCATTGAGTTCTCCTCCTCCTTCCTCCAAGGCCTCCAGTGTTCTTGCTTCACCAGTGGACTGAAGACCTATCACCACACACTGAACAGGAAATGGCTTCTTAATAATATGTCACAAATGTTGCAGATACTCAACCTGACAGACCATAATCAATGACTGGCTGGTCAACACTCTTCAACTTTTCAAAAACAATCTTGTCTGCAGTGTTCATGCAACATTAACTTTATTTTAGACATGAAATTCTTGTAAAACAGTTCTTCACAATAATAAAATCTTCACAATAATAATCTTCACAATGTGCCCCTCAATCCAAATTGAACGTCCAATACCAGTCATGTTTTATTAATAAAAATGAATGTTTAATTATGAAGAAAGGCTAGGCAGGGGAATACCACCCTCTGGTGGTGAAAAAGATCATTTCCTGAATCCCAAGCCTCAACAAGAACTCCGCCCCCTCATTTGCATATTGGACCACGAAATTAAAAGCCATGAAATGGTAAAACTGCCCGAAATAGTAAAACGGCATGAAATAAAATGGGAGTTCAAAATAAAAGTCCCTGAAATATATAAAGTAGCTTTACAAAATAAAAGTGTCACAAAATAAAACTACAATATGTAATAAATAAATAAATAAATGAATAAAAGACATGCTAAAATGTATTAGTCCTATAATATATTAATTTTGTTTTTTTTTCCCCATGGGGACATGGGAATTTGATGGAATATTTATTAATTACATTATCTATCTATCTATCTATCTCTCTCTATTTCTCATTATTTATTTGTTGTATTTTGAATAAAACGGCTCTCCATAGGTCCAGGGACACCAGGGGATTAATCATCAAATTAATCGTTATCGGCTAAATACCACAATTAATCGTGATTATTTTTTTGCCAACATTGCCCAACCCTAGTCCAGGGCAGACGTATTTTGCCTTGTGTTTGATCTGTTGGACATAAGACGTATACTCCTCCTGTGACTCCTGCTCTGAGTGACAACAATGTCAGACCAGCTGTGTTTAAACACCTCGTCTCTGGTTTTATGCATGTAAACGCTCACAAGCAGCCGTTTTTCCATTTAACATTAATTACTCATCACACGCCCCAACATATCCACCTGGTAGTACAGAATACTCCAGTATTTTCTAAAGGTCATACCGCGGTATGAAAATGAGCAATACCGCCCAACGCCATTTCTAACATGATTGTCAACTGTTGATTTAACACGTTTACAAGCAAAACACTGACGTCACCTGTCCCTGAGGGATTTGAAACCTAAATGTTTGTATTTGAGTATTTTTCTGGACTGAAATGGAACAGGGAGTGAAACTCAATGTTTTTGGTACAAGATGTGTTTTTTTTTTGTTTGTCCAAAGTAAAGAGCATCAGAATTTGGTGAGCGGTAGAAGCTGCTGATTTTCCCCTCAGCAGGACAATAAAGGCTATTTCTATTCTTTTCTAAGAAACTTTATCCACCATCAAGTACCAACGGTGGCCTCGGCACAGATTAATCTTCAGCCACCTCAAAGGAAATATGGAACTATCCCCCCTCCCCACCCTGCCTGCTGCCTCAGACACTACAGGATTTCTCAAACATGCATGAATGAGTCAAAGTAAGACTCTGGGCATGTTTTTGATGAGAGGAGAACATTATAACATGATATAAAACTCAAAAGTTGATTTTACAATATAGCTCCTTTAAAACACAGAATAGTTAAATTATTTAAAATGTTTTACCTTCCCATTCTGAACTTCCTCTCTGGCTAGCTGGACCACACGGCGGACTTTAGAAGCAATGCAAAGATATTTAAAGAACCTTTGGTGGGCAGACCAGAACTGGCCCCACATTGACTTCTTCATGCGTTGCTCTGCTTCCATGAGGTTAGCAGCCTGCTGGAACTTCTCACGCGCAGTCACCCACTGCAAGATGAAGACAACTGTGGGGTTAATTTATTAACTGCTGAGGCAAAACTAGAAATTAAAGCAAGGTGCTCAAAAGACTGAATTTACCAGCTTCACAGACTTGTTGTACATGTGAATGTACTTCTGAGTTAAAGGAACCTCCTCAATCTTGAAAGTCACTCCAGTAAAGCTCAGCTGCCTTGCAATATACATGCCCCTGAGTTTCATGTCCATAGCTACGATCTCCATGGCACCAACACCTCTGAAAGTGAAGGTTGAAAATACAAGCCCAGGAGTTTTAAATGTCTTTCAAATTTACAACCAACTGTTATTGACCCTTTGCACCCACGTGACAAACTCACGTGATACCGGCATGTCGGATGGCAGAAGACACAGAGCGGTGTATTGAATTAAAAGGCAGCGATTGTTTTTTGAAGTTGTGTTTGTTTTTGCCATGGTTTCTACTTGTTCCAGTTTAGATAATTTATCTGTGGAAGTCACACACCTGGTTGGAACTCACAGACAGTGTTATTTACAGAAGCTGGACACAGCTAGCTTAGAAATCGACCCATATCTTCTCCCTCCAGACGTGTTTGTTAGGTTCTCATAATGGCCAAGGTAAGACTTGCTTGTTAATGTTAATGTATTTTTATTTGCTGATTCCATTCGTGATTCTAGATGTTTTTCAAAGCGACCTCTGTCTGACGCTCGTGTTTCATTAAGTGTCTGCTTCCTGAGATCCCACTGAGCAGGTACAGTGGGGAAAATAAGTATTTAGTCAGTCACCAATTGTGCAAGTTCTCCCACTTAAAAAGATGAGAGAGGCCTGTAATTGACATCATAGGTACAGTGGGGAAAATAAGTATTTAGTCAGTCACCAATTGTGCAAGTTCTCCCACTTAAAAAGATGAGAGAGGCCTGTAATTGACAACATAGGTAGACCTCAACTATGAGACAAAATGTGAAAAAAATAGAGAAAATCATTTTGTCTGACTTTTAAAGAATTTTTTTGCAAATAATGGTGGAAAATAAGTATTTGGTCAATAACAAAAGTTCATCTCAATACTTTGTTGTATATCCTTTGTTGGCAATGACAGAGGTCAAACGTTTTCTGTAAGTCTTCACAAGGTTGGCACACACTGTTGCTGGTATGTTGGCCCATTCCTCCATGCAGATCTCCTCTAGAGCAGTGATGTTTTGGGGCTGTCGGCGGGCAACATGGACTTTCAACTCCCTCCAAAGGTTTTCGATGGGGTTGAGATGGGGAGACTGGCTAGGCCACTCCAGGACTTTGAAATGTTTCTTACGAAGCCACTCCTTTGTTGCCCTGGCAGTGTGCTTGGGATCATTGTCATGCTGAAAGACCCAGCCACGTTTCATCTTCATTGCCCTTGCTGATGGAAGGAGGTTTGCACCCAAAATCTCACAATACATGGCCCCATTCATTCTTTCATGTACACGGACCAGTCGTCCTGGTCCCTTTGCAGAGAAACAGCCCCAAAGCATGATGTTGCCACCCCCATGCTTCACAGTTGGTATGGTGTTCTTTGGATGCAACTCCGCATTCACTTTCCTCCAAACACGACGAGTTGTGTTTTTACCAAATAGTTCTACTTTGGTTTCATCTGACCATATGACATTCTCCCAATACTCTTCTGGAACATCCAAATGCTCTCTAGCAAACTTCAGACGTGCCTGGATATGGACTGGCTTAAGCAGGGGGACACGTCTGGCACTGCAAGATCTGAGTCCCTGGCGTCGTAGTGTGTTGCTGATGGTAGCCTTTGTAACATTGGTCCCAGCTTTCTGCAGGTCATTCACTAGATCCCCCCTTGTGGTTCTGGGATTTTTCCTCACCGTTCTTGTGATCATTTTGACCCCACGGGCTGAGATCTTGCGTGGAGCCCCAGATCGAGGGAGATTAGTAGTGGTCTTGTATGTCTTCCATTTGCTGATTATCGCTCCCACAGTAGATTTCTTCACACCAAGCTGCTTGCCTATTGCAGATTCAGTCTTCCCAGCCTGGTGCAGGTCTACAATTCGGTTTCTGGTGTCCTCCGACAGCTCTTTCGTCTTCACCATAGTGGAGTTTGGAGTGTGACTGTTTGAGGTTGTGGGCAGGTGTCTTTTAAACTGTTAATGACTTCAAACAGGTGCCATTAATACAGGTAATGAGTGGGGGAAAGAGGAGCCTCTTAAAAAAGAAGTTACAGGTCTGTGACAGCCAGAAATCTTGCTTGTTTGTAGGTGACCAAATACTTATTTTCCACCATTATTTGCAAAAAAAAATTCTTTAAAAGTCAGACAAAATGATTTTCTCAATTTTTTTTTCACATTTTGTCTCTCATAGTTGAGGTCTACCTAAGATGTCAATTACAGGCCTCTCTCATCTTTTTAAGTGGGAGAACTTGCACAATTGGTGACTGACTAAATACTTATTTTCCCCACTGTATACTAACGTTAGCGTCAGACCTTATGAATCCAGTCAGAGACACTTCCTTACTTATTTTCTTCATCAGATCTTCTGTCTGAGCAGTGCTTTCTCCACTCTGTGTGACTGGTTCATATCTGTACGGATGGATGGTTTTTAGAGCCGACGACAGCTAGCAGGCTAGCAAGCTAACAAGCTAGTAGCTTCTCTTCATGTTAACCAGCTCCAGGTACAACAGCACTCTGAGCTGAGCTTCTGTTCAATATTTAGCTGAAATGATCCATTCCCAGTTAAATTAAAAAGATGAACAGCTTTGATGATCAGCTGGTCTGATTTTATGACCTGAATGCACAACTGGTGTTTACTCCATCAACGTGGAAAAGTAAATAAAAGCTTCTCCTCCTCTGACCTTTCACTCAACAACACTGATTCAACATTGAGTAAAAACAACTATATTTCCATCTATCACTGTTGTTTGTATCTTCACTATGACACGGAGGGCTGCAGGTGGGCAGACGGACAGATTATAATATTTTAGAACCAGCAGCACAGTGGTCTGAAACCAGAGAGACACTCTGGTCCAGTTAACAGAGAGTCTCCAGATCCGACTGCACAGCAGCTGAAGACCAGTTTTACAGCTAAATCAACAGGAGGGAAAGAACGATATTAGGCTACCAACTGCCTGATTCTCCTCCAGCTCAATAGTATCTTATGGACCCATGTCTGTTTCTGCCGTTCAACATGAAAAAAGGGGCGGTCTTCTGAGGCGCGTGACGTCACGTGCAAAGGGTCAATAGAAGATTCTGCCATCTTCTGAAAAAACAAACTCACCTTCGCTCCACAGCTTGGATGAAGTTGCCAAATTCTCTAAAGGGTGTTTTATGGCCCCATATACCCAGTCGGTTCATATATGCCATGTTTCGTGGCTCAGAGGCACCTAAATGATACATTTAAAAAGTAAACGCAAAGTTTAGGTTAGGCTTCCAATACACTGATAAAACAAATTGATAATATTAACTAACCTGTAGCGCTGGCATACACAACACGAGCTTTTGGAAGTTTGTTCTGCAGCTCCAAAACTGCCAGCCCAGTTTTTGTGGGCTTGGATGACCCAATGGGACACACATTTTTGGCTTTGTGACACTCATCAAAGACAATCTATAAATATTTTGTTAATGAAAGTCAAATATTTAAGGTAGTGCAATATTAATCTTTTCCAGGGGATTCTGATGTTATCAGTCCATGAAATGGAAGTTATTAGGCATTATCAGTCCCATACAATGGCTTCAGAGGGTCCCTACTGTGCCTTCTAGGCTTCAGAGTGTCCCGACAGTGTCCCTTACTGGGTTAATATATCAATGACAATGAATGTGTAAATAACCATATAAGCAAAACATATTTTAATAATTTTTTTGTCCTTGCCGGGTGGCATTCCTTGCTCTTGCTGTCCGTGTCGGTCTTGAGCCCTGGTCTCCTGCACTGTGGTCCGATGCTCTACCCATTGGCCTATTAGAAGGCCACATTATATATCCATCGGAGGACGGTGTCTTTAGCACTAACTATGATATTTTCTCTAAGGTTAACCTTAGTGGCTTTTTCTGTCATGTTAACCTGTTTTTTTTAACCAGATAGTGGTTTTATGTCTCATATTAACCAGATAGTAGTTTTATGCCTCATATTAACCAGATAGTGGTTTTAT